CCCCCCCGCCATCTCCCCAATGAGAAGGACAACAAGGAAAGATATTTGAATAAAGAACAGTATTGATAACAAGTAGATATCTCCCTAATATAACCCACACATCTGCGGGGCGTAGTTCATTGCCCATATAGTGGCACGTAGACCACTTACAAAGAGAGAGAATGAGTTTGCTCTACAGCCTTAGCTGAGAACCAGTTGACTTATATCCCAGGCTGTAGAGGCTCATACACTAAGCTCCAGAAGTCCCAGGTTTTGTTTCGCCTGTCAATGTTGTACTAACACCAGATATTTGCTCCAATATATAAAAATCACCCAACTTCTCACCAAACAAAGGATAGTTAGTTATGACCAGAGCTCGCCGAACCATGGCAAGCCCTGCTCGCCAGCCGTGCCTGTTCGGTGATCTGCGCATGCACAGATTGCCCGAACCCGGATCTTCCGGGTTGCAATCTACTCTCCACGGGTGAGTAGATTGCATTATTGTCCCTGGTTATGACTGTGCATGCAATTACTCTTGTGGTCAATTCAGATGCACAAGGAAAGAGTAAATCCTCCTGCCTTTACACAACTTGAACAAGAGGGCTCCAGGAGAACAATATTACATTACAAGGGGAAAATCCTTGTGCTTCCTGGGCCAGGAAACTGCAATAGAGATATAGTGTACATAAGGCTGACCTAATGTGCACCATAGAGCAAAATGGGACCGTTTACTACTGAAATCATGAAGTGTGATGGTAGTATATATCTTTCTTTGAAACATACCATCCTGTGTGCAGGCACCTAGGAGGTTAATGATATTTTTGTGTTTCCCAATCATTTTCATCATTTCCATTTCGGACACCAGGTCAGAAAGATCCTTGTCAGTAGCATCATCTGGCAAAGACCGAAAAACAAGAAACAGTGAGGAAGGGACTAGCCATTTCTTATAGTCTAAAAGTAAAACCATAGCTGGAGCGCAATAATACTATACAATATGTTATACACTGAGTGAATGGTGACTGGCTATCTGGGCATTTATGAGAGCTGGTCAGGAAAAGAAATTTTCATCCCGTGGGAAATGTTAATATTTGCTTTTGCCCCAAACTGGGATGAAACCTTGAAAGATTAAAACTTGTTGCCAAACAAAAGTTCTTAAAAATTCTGATGTGAAAATAAAACATCGGGTGTTTTATTTTGATGCTTAGAAACTGAAAAAGAATTGGTTGTCAATTTCAATTTTAGGATTTTTGGAGCTTCACCTGCATTCTCACCTGTCTTTTTACACATGCACAAACAAACTTCCCCATTTTTTCATACTGGAAAAGAATCAGGAAGAGGTAAAAGAAGTGATTAAATGGGTGAACCACTTTTCATACCTTTTACTGTTTTCAACTTTCTTCAGTTAGAAAAACTTCTAAAAAAGAGGGGGAAAAGCTCCCAGGATAAATTGGAAAACCAAAATTTTTCAGCTTCCAAACTCAGAACACAAAACAGCAAAATATTTCAGTTTGACAATGTTGGAAATTTTCTCTCCAAAAAAGTTTCATCAACATTGACGAATGAGGGCACCCTGTTTTCCTATGGAATAAACATTTTTAATTTGAAAAAAGTTTCAACTGGTGCTAGCAGTGATATTGTGCAGAATGGCAGCACTTCTTGCTGTGACATAATCATGCCACTCCCCTCCGGGGATTTTCTGCAGCATAAAAGAGAATGCTGGTCAAGTTACAGCAGGTTCTGTAACTTTCTGTGCTTTAGGCAGGGAAAATAGAGGAGAATGTGGAGGAACCCAACCAACCCCATTGTTTTGCCTCTTCTTAAACTACTAAGGTACTTGGCCAGGGCTGGAATTTGATATGAAGATCTTCTAAAGTGCTTATATGACCCTGATCACCCAAGTACATGAACCATCTCCAAACGTTTCACAATTCTAAAAGGATTTTATACACATACCACTGTGAGGGTGTGTTTAGACTACAGGGTTTTGTCAACAAAAGTGGACTTTTGTCAACAAAACTATACCTGTGTCTACACTACTGCCAAGTTCTGTCGACATAACATCGACAGAACTCGGCAGTTTTGTCAATGGCAGTAAACCTCATTCTACGAGGAATAACGCCTTTTGTCAACAGAGTTCTGTTGACAGAAGGCGTTATTGCATCTAAACTGTCCTGTGTAAACAAGTACTAGTTACAGAATTGGAGGGGGGATTTGGCTTTCAGTTTGCTCTTCTTATAGACTATATTTTTAGAAAAAAACACCCCCCAAATCATGATAAATGCCAAGGGCAAATGCCTCTCTAACAGCCCCACCTTCCTGCCATTCCTTCATGGTGCTGTTCTCTGTACCTTTTAACATCTTGACAGCTACAGTGATGGCCTTGTTAGGCTTGTCCTTATCGATCCCAATCGCTTCTGCCATCACCACTTGACCAAAACAACCTTCACCCAGTGGTTTCCCCAGAGTCAGGCTGAAGCGACAGATACAAACAAATGAATTAATATGCGACCGTGCTGACAAGTGGAACGAAGACAGAAGAACGACACGTATAATTCAGGATGCGGTTTGACTGACCGAGATCTCGCTAATTCCCACTTGGGATCGGCAGGTAATTCAAGCTCCGAGACATTTGCTAGCATTGGCCCATCGCTGGATGAGAGCCGGGTGATTCTGACCAACGGGGTGTTGGAATTCATGGAAGAATTTGACTCCAATGACACCTGCTTGAATAGAGCAAATAAAATGTTATTGCCAACTGCCTCTGTGGCAGAAACATGCAGAAGTGCTTAAAAAGAAACCCGCCAAGAGCAGTTTGAACTAATCTTTATTTATTGAAGACTTATAATAAGTCAATATAATTTATTGAAGACTTATAATAAATTTGTACAGACAGTGTGTGTTTGCAGTCAGTCCTAATTTTCCCTTGCCTGGCCTGTAAAAGATGAGAGATTGCAACAGAGAATAAATTCACAGGATTGGCAATCCTTTGTAATCCCTACATTTGCTGCTGTGCTGTGCCAGGCTCTGATCATGACTGGATGAGCTATTGATCCATCATGTGCCATCATGTCCCTTGCGGCAAGAAGGCCCAATCCTGGACTCAAAGAAATCAATGAGTTTTGCTAGTGACATCATTGGGAACAGGACCAAAAATGTGTTCTGTCTCCCACTTCTGCCGTTCACAATGAGTAGGGGTGCAGGACTGCAGACTATATCTGGAAGGTCCTTTTCCCCCCCTTAGTGTTGTTACATGTGGCCAGAAGGGCCAATTTAAGTGTCTGTTTACTAGTCTTAGCTAAAACACAGGTCTCTGTGGAACTGCTGGTCTTTGACAAAGAATACATGACCTCTAAAAAGAAAGTTAACTGCCACAAACAATTAGAAAAAAAATCAAGTTAATGAATAAGTGAAAAACTGATACACACAGTTTGATCCTTATCAGGCGGAGGCCCTGCTCACATGAATGGGATTTTTGACTGAATAAAGGATGCAGGGTCAGGTTCCTAATGTAGAAAGGAATTTAAAGGAAAGTGGGGCTATAGGGGGGATAGGAATCTTGTATCTACTTTCTGTTACCTGTCTCTTGAGAGGAAATTTGGAGACTTTCTGTACAGTGGGCGTGCTCATGGCTTTTTTGCTGGGCATTTTCATCCTACAGATGATCACGACCACAACCACCAGGATGAAGAGAACGAAGCCAGTTCCATAGCTGAGGATGCCAGCGTAAACGGAGCCAGAATCATCCACTTCCACCAGCTCTGCAGAGTAACGAGAAATCCAAGTGAGGAGCAAGGACGGGCGATGGCAGCCAACACATACACATGCAGTGCAAGAAATTCAGGTAGAGCCTGAGCTAAGCTCACTGTCACCAACAGGAATCTTCCCATTGACTTCAATGTGAATTAGATCAGGTCTAGGCTGGACACCTCTTTGTATATGTGTAATCCTGTTGGACTTAACTTAGGAGCCTTCCCAACCCAGAACTCTGAATGCAGGTGTTTTGCTTTTGCAAACAATGCAGGATTGTGCCCTTCCTAGATTTCTCTCCATTTTGACTGATATGCCCCAGATGAAGGATTAATGTGGCCATTTAAAATAAGATTTCAGTTTATTCACCTGAACCACATCTGTCTCCAAAGGAAGGCTAGGCTGGGTGAGGATAAATGGGAAACTTGGCTTAATTATATCATAATTCATAACATTTTGTTTGGACAAGTAAAGAGAGGGGAAATTATCTAATTTTTTTTAGCAAAAATCCCACTCTGGGATTCTAGAAAGTCAGCAATTCCCATAGTCCATTGAACAGGTGCCAATCATTTTGATGACCACACGCTATAATTAGTTTGATGCACTCAGAGCTCAATCCCGCAACCTCTCCACAAGCAAAACACAAATCAAGACTGATTCTCTGCATGTTCCATTCAGTTCAGGCACTTTTGAATTTACAAGGGGTCAAAGCAAAACCAAACACACACTAATAGAAAAGAGAATGCCCAGCAGTTCTTTAATCACTGGTGGAACTCCTAGTGAAATCACTGGAGCATGCGGGTTTGCCATGGCTTCCAACAATGGTGGTGGAGGGGATAAAAATGTATTTTATAATCAGGTAATTTGAGAGAGTATCCTGTGAGGTCCCTCAATTGCTGCTAACTTCACTGGGGGTTGACAGAGCTCTATACCAAGCAAAGTCAGGTCCTGTACAACAGTTCTTTGCTCGTTTGGTTTTATTTGCTGCCCATTCAATGGACTTTTCACAGAGTCACTTCACTCTGGGCTAAATGCTGAGCAGGGTAGTTTGGGTGCAGGTGACTTGAAAGCAGCTGCACTCAAGTGCAGCAGTGAAGAAAACGAATGAAGGAAACATCACCCCTCCATAGGCAAGCCCCACCCCAGCTCTGGCCTATTGAAATCAATGGGAGTCTTTCTGCCAACTTTATTGGGCATGTATCAGGCTCTTGGTGACTCTGTCCTTGAAGGAACATGGCAATGCGAGAAATGGGGGGTGGCTATTGTCTGTGCATATACCAGTACACGTCGTGCAGCAATTGTTGTGGTTGCGAGCGAGCTGACCAAATGAGCAGAGAACCTTTGTACAGGGCCTGACCTTGCTTGGCCAACCCCCAGTGAAGTCAGCAGCAATTGAGGGACCTCACAGGATCAGGCCCTATACCCAAAGGGCAGGAAGTATAGCTGCCATGAAATATAGTTGGGATGGCTCTGCTGTATTTTATCACAGCAGCAAACTTCATAGCTTTAAGGTCTCTGATCTGGGCCTTTTCTCTCTTTGAAAGGCTCGCCACAGATGGACAGACTACATTCTGCATCTCCCTAAAGGCTGCTGCAAACTCGGCCCCCATTCCAGTTTGCTATCTCTGCAGTGTCTTGCATTTGAGTTCACTATGAAGTTCCACTTTAGCTGGGTTTTTTAAAAATATGCTACAAGTTCATACATTTTATAACCAATGCAACAATTTGATGATACAATCCAGGCAGATTGTTATAACAATGTAAACCTCCGAACTTAAATCAAGAGAAACAATTTTCAATCCATGGAATGGGGGAAGCGGAAACAGAATCAGAGAAGAACCAGCAGATCCCATTTGCATCAAGGCCCATCTTTGAGGAGACACACTGCTCCCAAACAAAGACAATTAATATGAAAAATCACCAATTAAAGTAAGGGTTTAGAAATGCCAAAGTTTCTGGTTCAGAAAAAAAGTTTTGGGGGATGTGTCTTTGCCAAGGCTACCACTGATGGTGATCAAAATGTGTTTTATAACGAAGAGATTTGAGAGAGTATAATTTATTTGCTAGCCATTCAATGGACGATTAAAAATAGGTATTACATAAAAAAAGAAAGGGCTGAATTTGGGTCTGCTTCTGCAGTCATGCTTGGGCTGAAACCCATCAGCACACTTTCCCAAATTCATGCACTTTAACACAAGGAGAGTTTTTAGGATGTGGGACAGTGCAGCCTCTTTTAGCGCCAGTGCAGATCTCTCTGTTGCATAGTCTAAGGAGGAGAGTCAATTCGGTCTCCATTTCCAGAGCCTACATTAGCTCCTACTGCCTTTAGCTGGTGCTAGATGCAGTGTTCCCTGTAAACTGTGTGCTTGTGTGGCTGCTCAGGAGAGACTCCAATGCCACCCAGCTGATTAGCTCCTGGTGGTGCACATTTGCACGTGTACCAGTGCACAGAAAAAAATATTCTGCACACGGATGGAAAAGAATAGAGGGAGCATTGGCTTGGAGTATTAATATCTCTGAAAATCAGTCCAGCAGTGCCTGGGTTGTGTATCTCCATCTCTACAAGTGACTCTCATTGTGACCTTCCATTTCTAGATAAGCAGGCTAATAAGTTATCTTAAAATTAAACTATATGCCTAAGTCAAAGGGATCTTGAAAGGTTTAGATCACTACTATCTCTAATGTGTTTTGGGATCCCTCGGAAGAAATATGAGGCATGTCAGTATTTTTAACATGCAAGTGCAATGGGGATTAGAGATCTGCATGGGCAACTGAAGAGGAGAGTTCCTTCTGTGGAGAAGTCGACTAAAGATCAAAATTCATTACTCCATGTAATAATGCGTAGAACTGAGGCATTTCTAACTTAAAAATTGAAGCATCACCAAGAGGAAACAAAGGGGACAGTGCAGAAAGAAATACCTGGTAGAACCGTCAGCCAAGCAGAATGATGTGAAAACCCAATAGAATTCCCAGCGAGACAAGTATATTCCCCTGCATCCTCAAAAGTAACATTTCGCAAGTACAGAATTTCTAGTTCCTTATCCGTTGTGTTAACACCTGCCGTCTACAGGGGGAAAAAAATACACACATATAGAAAGAGGGAAAACAGAGGATAAGCCACATTCCCAGCAAGTTTGAGGACACAACACGGATTTATAGGTAAAATTTCAAAAGCAGATGAAGATTTGTTGTGTTTCCTTCCAGTGGCCCATCTTCTGCATTTATTTATTCATTCCCGTTTGCATCCTATAGTAAAAGCAAAAGGTTCCCTTCACCAGGCTCTTACTCTGTCCCACTAATGAAGCATGCAAGCAAAAGCATCAAAAGGAAAAATTGCCCCCACAATAGGACTGACTGTAGGTTAGCAGGGTGAGTGTGGGGGGAAAAACAGAACTTGTAAGAATAAGAGAGTCATAGAGAGGAAAGGGTAAAGTGCTGGCCAGATAAATGGTGACTTCATACAGAAAAATGTTCATTAGGAAGACATTATTCTTAATGTCAATTTCAACACCAAGAGCTTATCTATTAATAATATAGCTCTTGATGCTATCATGTAATTCTGGATCATCATTAGAAAGTGTCCTTTAGGGAGCATTCTTACATTATCCGGGAGATAGACTGGCTGACTTGCCACTCACTTTATAATTAATTGAAAATGTTAAGACATAGGCAAAATTATTCTGGAGTGTAAACCCCAATGGAGTTAAACCAAGGACAGCTGAACTCCATTATTCCCTACTTATGTGTTCGCTAGCATGATCTAATACCGATGTTAATTATGAATAACTATTGGAATGGAAAAAACCTGTTTTTGGACTATACTAATACTATGGGCAAAAATCTTCAAATGTATTTGATTTCTTAGAGGTTTGAACATCAAAGGCCATTAGCAAGCAGTCCTGTTATCAGCACTCAGCCGTGAGGAAAAGAAAGGAATAGGAGCAGAAAAGACTGGTAGCAAATGTTGACAGTCATTTTATTGTGGGAATTTTTCCATCGCAATTGATATATAGGCATTTAATTCTTTCAAAAATATTAGCAAGGAAATAAGGTAAAAGCCATTCAGCATCAGTTGACAGGGTTTAATATAAAATGAATAGTAATTTTAATCACTAGCTTCTTAGAATGTTAAAGCTCATTCTTGCAGTTGCTAGGGCCTTGGGACAGAGTCTATGGTTTACCTGGTTTTGGTTTGCGAATATGGAGCCAAAATGGTTTTTCGGCTATGCCTACGAAATTGTTGGCTCTACACAGATATTCTCCTTCATCTTGTTCTGTCACATTGAACAGATTTAGGTTAGCATCGGCTTCAGCGTTTTTACTGATCCAAGACTGCAGGAACAGACAGAAACCTGAACTTCAGTAAACCAAACAATACCTCCATCGAAGCTACGTTAGCTTAGGACTGACTGAGCATGACCAATTTATACTTTCATTTCTGCTCACCATACTCAAGTGAGGAGAACTACTGAAGATTTAAGTGAGCAAGGGGACCCGGATCAGCCCAGTAACAGCGCACAAGTTCACTCCTCTCCTTTTACTGGTGCTTCTCCCATTAAAAGGCATACATCATCTTTCTTTCTTTTTTTTTTTTTTTTTTTTTTTTAAAGGTCATTATCCTGTTCTGCACCTAACGGTAGCCAGACAGCCAGAGATTCTATGGTTTCTTAATAACTGTGTAGACAGAAACAGCAGGAAAAGGGCTTACATGGAGATTTGTGTTTGCAACCCAACTCAGCAAATACTGTTTCAATTATCAGGATTCCAAAATAGAATTTGGAGACAAAATATAAGCAGTGGCAGTCTGAAGCCTACTGCTGACTTTGCCTTTCAGAAATTAGCTGTAATTTTTTCCACTGCACATAGGAGAGTCTTCTTTACTAAATAAAGTGATGCTTATAAATCAGCTCAACTTCAGACCATTAAATGGGGTTTTATTTCTCATCTTCGAAGCTGCTGCAATGGCAGTTTCTCTTTTATCTGAAAATGTGTGGCCCCCGAAGGGCTAGAAAAATACCCCATTCAATTCTGGAAGATAAAATGAAGTGATAGTGCTTTGTTATTCCCCTGCGTGGCCCAATCTCTAACCACAATGTTAGAGTCTGATTCTGCAGATCTGACTTGCAAAAAAGGATGGCAGGATCAGCTCTATAATTAGGAACTTAAAACTCATTCCAGATGTGCATAGGGTTCAAATCCCAATGTGAACTTTGCAGTTTCAGACGTGATCTCACTGCTGAGATTCACACTTTGCAAAGTTGGTTTGAACTTATCTTTAAATCAGCCAGTTTCCTTGCTGCTGCTTCATTATTTATAATTAAAGTCTATGTATTGATAGAGGGCACAGTTTATCCTGGGCTAACACTGTCCCTTGCTGGAGACTAGAATGAGGAATTTTCAATCCCCCTGACATGGATAACATTCCTCAGAGCATCCTGCTAATTCCTCCTACAGAATTATTTTTGTTCACAGATTTAGGCCCAGCTTTGAGGTAACTGATCCAGATGGCAGTTTGTTTTTGTCAAGCAATTTCAGAACAGATTCAAGTGTAGCCTTAAATGTAATTGAGAGATTGTGCTCCCCCAGCTCTGCATGCAGAGGGCAATCTTGACATGCAGCTTTTCCTTCCCTCCTGCATGAAAGGAGGCTAAGCTGCTTCCAATGTGCCATCTAACCCATATTCTGGATTCCGCAGAAGCCCCTCTGCTAAACCTGGGACTTGCCCAAGATCAAGAGATGGGGCAGCCTCATCACGTCCCTCGAATCCTGTCAAGATTACACTGGGGAGACTTATAACCAGGAATCTCTTTTAAGGCCACCACGGCTGGGGGGGTTCTTAACAGTATGATTCCAGCACAGCTGCATTGCTGGGGACTGAGATTTAAGCCACTGTCAGCTTTCACAAGGGCAGAACAAATTCTGCTCTATGATAGAATAGTGTGGGGGAAAGCTCCAAGAGGAGGGGGCACATTAGCTCCAAAATATTAGTGATTTACCTTATCTTTTAATATTTTAAAAACAAAAAATCTTACAAAACTGAGAATGACAGCACCAAACCAAGGCCCATTAGCTGAGCACAATGATGCATCCTGAAATGGAAATTCTCGGAGCCCTGATGCCATAAACCACAGTTAACACTGCCAGACACAGTCACGATTAATCAGAAGTAGGGAAGATAAGTGTGCCGTTGCCATTAAATAAAAATAAAAATCACCCTTTTGTTTTCAAATGCCTGCCTGTACTTGTACTTTTAGGAAGGCATAACTCACTCTGTCCAAACAGGAGAAGGCATTTGGCAGTTCTAATAATCTAGCACCTCTGTCTCTCAGTGTCTAAAAATTATACGCTAGTTATACATGTCTTAGCCACAGCAATGTAGGATCAGGGGTTTGTTACACCATCTGCTGTTTGCACAACTTTGTGAGCTTCCAGAGGTAGCAGTACTTTATTCCACAAGGACCACATATGGAGCAAAAAAGACTACATTGAGTGGCGTGTTACAACACTTGATAGTTTGCTATGAAATCAATGGGAAATTAATATATACATATATTAAGCAAATCTTTATGCACAGCTAGTGTGGTGCCAAATACTGAAGAACTGTCTCCGACCATTTCTTCCAATGTGTTAGTTCAATCTGGGTAACGATTTCCAAGGCCTCTGGCTTCTATTATCATTTACTTGGCTGAGTTATAACAGTGTACATACTGTCTGATCGCTCTTTAACTTCACATGTAGGAAAAAAACGTGCCATGGAACTTACAATGAACTGACTAAAGGGACACTCTCGGGTTGACAACAAAGGGCCAAATTCTGATCTCTGGAGTAACTCCACTGAGCCCTATGTATTTTAAATGGATTTACACACTGCATCTTAGCAAACTGCAAAGGATTTTAAAAGTCTAATACACTTTTCACTGTTTACAGTTTTCTTTTTGCATTTGCTCAATCCAAGAAAATGGTGGACCAGTCAGTTTTAGCATTGTTTGCTGTCCCTGGGCCATGTTCTTTCACAACACTGGAAGGCCTGCACTTGGTCCTGTTCAGCAGAGCACTTAGCACATGCTTAGCTTTAAGCATCAATGGGACTTCAGTGCTTAGCAGAGGAGGGATGCTCTCCTGAGTCTGGGCTCAAAAGAAGTGTTAACTGCATCATTGTCACTGGTCTGAGCAGAGACACAAGAAATCAGACTTACAGTCACATTCTTGTTCCCAGGCCCAAGTACCACACTGCTTTACACTGCTTTATGTAGGATGCAGGAGAGGTATGCACATATATGTAAAACTGATTTTTTTTCTCAGCCATTTTAGGCCAAATTTCATCGGACAGCGTATCATTCATTATGATACGATCGTCACAAGTGGCATAACTTCCGCAACCATTTGCTTGCTCTTTATTTATCCAGGCTAATATACATAATAAGGTAAGCTCTGCCCGTTTCAGTTTTGGTCCAAACTGTGACATAACTGTTTCTGGACACTTCTAGTAAACAAAGAAACAAACGGGGAGCATCGTTTTTAATGACACAGTTGTGATATTTTACTGTCGAAAGGGACTTTTACAGCCAAATGTTCTTGCTTTGTGTGCCACTCAGAAAGGTCTTTTTTTTTTAAAGCAATCCCATCTGCCCAGATTACTCTCATTATCCTTCCCCTATAAACACTGGAACAATTATACAAGGGAAACTTGGAGTGCACACATGATGTGATTTAAACAATACTCCTTCTCTCCCCCCCCAGACCTGTAGTGTTGAACTGTTAATGCTGCTTGGGGCTTTGCTGTGTTTTAGAATTCCTGGTTCCAGTTTGTTTATGAGTGTCTAAAAAAAGTTTACTGTCTCCATTAAATGAGAACACCTAATCTTTGGGCTGAACTCTCAACGTAAGTGCAATATAGCTACAGGCAGCAATTTAATTTTTAGAAGAACAGAGGGAAGGAAAACCCATCCCCTGATTTGTCTCTCTCCTGGTTCTATACATTTAGGGCAAAATTTTCAGACGCAATCAAGAAACTAAGGAGCCTAAGATCATGTTCACACGTGACATAGGAGTTTGGGAGCTCAAGTCTCAATGAATTTTAATGAAACTTGAGCTCTTATGAGCGTAAACATCACTTTTGAAAATGCTACCCTTAATGACATTTATTTGCCCTCTCATCTATATACCTGTGGGTGGCTTAACATATAGTCAAATAATAGTGCCATCTGCAGAATGCTGTGTTCATCTCAGTCCACAGCTCTGAGCTCTCTGTATGCCTCCTCACCCCCAAAACACCAGCTATAAATTTTACCAATGAATCACCAGCACAGTAGTTAGTAATAACCAATGTGACTCTGACTGTGTGATAAGGCAAATGACTGTACATGTCCTCTGACAGTTTGGGGCAATACTTAACTGTAATTAACCTAACATGACTCTAGATATCATTGTTGCCTCCCATCAATTTAGGCACCAAAGCTTCAACTAGCTGCAAAAATATGATCTTAAAAAGGGAGAAAATGTAGTTCCTAACACAGCAAGACTTTGAACATAACCTGCTTTCTGCTTCTCTCTCTCTTTCTTTTTTCTGAAATGAAGACTTAATTAAAAACTGAACACTCAGTATAAACCATGGGCCAAACTTGGTTCTGCACAGAGGTCACTAAAGATTGGATTTGGGACCATATTTTTAAACACAAAAGAAAGGTTCCTTACCTGTATTATTAGTACAGTAAATTAATAGGGATGAACACTAAAAACAATCTACTTTACCCATTACAGATAAAATCTGGACCCCTCCTCCCAAAATCAGTGGCAAAATCCCTATTGACATCAGTGGTGGCAGGATTTTACTCAATGGATGTACATTTTCAGAAGGCCTCCTTATTTATGCTTTCAAACTTTGTGAGTGGTTGTTCTGAATAGGCACCTCTATCCCTGGATTAACTGAGGAGTCTGCACATTCACTGCCATGGAAGTAAGAGCATTCCCTAGTCCCAGAGTAACATGAAGACACGTAGCTTTCTAGCAATACTGCAACAGCATTTGACAATGGAGGGATCGTGGAGGGTAACATTTCTGGGAGTTCTTAAAATTCCTAATCAGTTCAGACGCCACTGAGATATTGAGACCAACACAGAGGAGGCATTATACTCCCCTGAACGAGAAAGCAAATGGTGTCTACCAACCTTGAGCACTGTGACATACGGAGTCCCATTGGATCCATATTTACTGCCGTTGACTTCCACATGTTTCAGCCACTGGATGTGAGGCTGGGCATCACTGTACACTTTGCAATGGAATTCAACATCACTCCCTACCACCACCGTCTGGTTGGCAGGCAGTCCTGCCTGGAGGATAGGCCGGTGGGGTGACCTTTCTGAAATGAAAAGGGGGAACCCATGTTTAACCTCTCTTCCCATTCCACATGTCCCTCTGTTGCTTTCAGCACCACCACCAATGTCTGCATGGAAGCAGTAGTTTAACTGCTTGCAGTAGGGCTCATTAAAAGCCCTGGAGGAGCAAACCCAGAGACCAGTGCTCTCTGCTTACCTGCACGAGGAGCTGCAGCATAGGCTTCCCAAACCGTGCCCCAGTCAACATGCCTCAATCAAGTTCGTGACAGTGAAAAGGCTGGTCAGTGTCCCTGCCCCTTTGCTGCTTGAATTCTGGCTGAGTGCCAGCTAGGTTTGCCATTATGTACCTGCAGCATCATTTCAGGGGGCAGGCTATGATGAAGCCCAAAAGCATTTTTGTACATAAGACATCGAAGATTCACTTGACAACCGTGTATCAGAAGTTACAAGGAAGTAGAGAAATCTTACCTAATACATCTAGCTGGTAAGTGTGCCTAATGCTGCCATACTTGTTCTCCACAACGCATGTGTAATTTCCTCGGTCTGATGGGACCACACTCTCCATCACGAGGCTCCACTGCTGATGCCGTAGCTACAGAAAGGGGGGGCAAGCGCCAGCCATAAGACACCACCAGCTAATATTTCATTGGACCATTGCAAACAATGAACAAATGACCAAAGACAATTGGCCTCTGTCTTTTATTCACAGGCTTCTTCACATCCACTCTGCTAGTGTTGCAGGGACTGCAGCACATGTATAAATCTAATGCATGACCATTTTAAAGACATCATCACAGGACCTAACCACATCAGAGGCTCATACAGCTGCACGTCCACTAACGTGATCTATGCCATTAAGTGCCAGCAATGCCCCTCTGCCACGTACATTGGCCAAACTGGACAGTCTCTGCGACAAAGGATTAATGGACACAAATCAGATCTTCGAAAAGGTATCACACAGAAACCTGATGGGGAACATTTTAACTTGCCTGAGCACTCTCTAACAGATCTAAAAGTGACTATATTACAAAGCAATTCAAAAAACAGGCAGAGAGAGAAGTTGCAGAACATGCTTTCATTTACAGATTTGACACATGCGATCAAGGAATGAACAAAGACCTGAACTAGATGGGCTGCTACATTCTAGGGCTGTTAAATTATTTTAATTACTAATCAACTAGTCAATGGATTTTTCATCAACTAGTCGATTAGTTGATAAGTGGGGGAGCCACAGTGGGAGCTAACCGTGCTGCAACTCTACCTTTTAAATCTATTAAGAGCCAGCATCTGGGACGGATAGAGGCAGCAAGGGGCGGGGAAGTGACTAGTTGACTATCTGGTAAGCTTTTGCTTATCGGATAGTTGACTAGTCACTTACGTTGCTACTACATTCTATACCCTAATGACATCAAAAGCTAAGCATCAGGCACAAAAGCTAAGAACCAGGCCCACTCTCTTAGCCTCATTTAGCATGGACACTCTAATTGACAAGATTATTTTCCCTATTTTTTCCTTCTTTATCCCTCCTCATCCCCTCTCTTTTGCTGCAGGACTATTCATTGTTTTTTAAGTTTTTTTCATTTTAAAGACAATTTATGCTACAAACCTAATTGTAAAGGGGTCCTAACATAAGACTCCCGCCCAGTGAAGCAACTGGTTTTTTGGGACATTTTTTTTTTCTCATTTGTAGAGCACCTAGGGATCTTGGTCTACAACAAGAGCTCACATGTGCAATAGTAAAACAAATAATACATCATTGCATAGCTGCATATCCATGTTGTGCTTTTCTTTACAGAACTGAAAGAGGTTCAAAGGCATTTAATCAGATAGCACCACATAGTCCAGTCAACTGCGGTCCAGAGGTTAAATGGACTCCATGACTTTAAAGAACCACAACTCCCCTCCAAAATCCTTAACCTAACTTGTGTTACCAATATCTACTCTCCACCCACTAGGATGTTAAGGACTAGTCGATTATATGATAAGTAAATGCTTATTGGATAGTTGACAGACTAGTCTCTCTATAGTGACCTTCTCTCTATAGTGGATTGCATTACAGGCTTGACTCTGCACATTCCTCTTTATTCTTCTCTCGTAGGCATTTGTAAAACACCCATCTCTGTAGTATCTATGATCTGAATTCTGGTAAAGTTTGGCTCCAGATATGAAACACACGGCAGAGCTGTGTCATAAATCTGGACCCAAACACTCCAAACATCCAGCCATTTGCCTATTCTAGACAAAGTGCTCAACACCTTATTGCACGGGACTTAAGTTCTGGAGAAACGGGGTCTGAATACAGACTCAAACTGTGTCTCAGAGCCAGGTGCCTCATGTCACAGGTGTTTGGAAAGTTTTTTTAAAACAACAACTAAGGAAAAATAATACTCGAAAGCTAAGTCCAGACCCAAGGGATCACAAGGATGCTCCCAATTTTGGGCAGTTGCTGTTCTTGATAAACCATGAGAAACATGAAGTAACGTGGTGCAGACATTAATCAAATCAGTGAGATACTAGAAATCCCTCTGGTTTATTTGGTGTTGTCATTCTTGGCTCCTTGCAAGACAAACATTTGCAGACACACTTAAAAACTCAGCCTATGTTTGCTAGACTGGTATGCAAGCTGGTGCAATAGTCTGGGGAAGGGATAATCCTCAATCTCTCCCCCAACCCGCTCCCCTATTCCCTTCTAGGGTCATTTAACACATACAGGCTTACAATATTATAGATTCCAGCAAGGATTTAACTATTAATTCTCTTTGGGAAATTTCATATAAGTCATATGAATTTCACTCCCCTGCCATTTAAGGATGAATTGTGCAGAATTTACTTCATCCATGTTTGGAAATCTTTTTCTATCCCCCCCACCCCCACTTTTCAGTTTTGATGCACACTAGATGGTATCTACAGGCAAAAAAGAGATTAGAATGTGATATTTAAAAAAAAAATCCAGACTTCCATGATACAAGTTCCAGCTTAATTCTGCTGGCTGCAGATTTAAAAACAGCAAAGTCTAAAGTATTCTAAATTCTGGAGAAAAAGAGAAACAGGATATATTCGTGATTCTAGGCTTTGCAGGTTAATCCACTGGGCTCGATCCTTGGCTAGTATAAAATGTCCAAGCTCCACCAGCTGTCGATCTCTGGCCTAAATCCTGGGAGGGAAGCTCAATCGTACCTGAAGAGTTTAATTGTCAGTAAATAAAACAATGAGCTGATTTTTTACTTTCTAGTACAGATGCATACTGGCCTATTTACAATAGAAGAGAGTATCATAGCTCTAACAAGCTCAGGGGGAAAGAAACAGAGAAATGTCTCTGTACCTAGAGATTCTGAGAGATCTGTGCCTAGACAGACAGGGGGTTGAAACCAATATAACTGTAATGGGCCTCTCACTGTCTTTGATGGCTCTTTAAACATTTATTTATTGTTGGAAGGTCTCAATAAAGAAATAAAGCATGCTGGTGCAAGAGATGTTACTGTGAAGCAGAGGATAAAACTTTACTATCTAAACTCAAGCATAGATTCAAACCACAGAAAAGCAGGAAGTGGAATTACTTTTAACTTTAGGTTTAATTCTGCGATCATAATTTATTGCAGCTGTCATCACACATTTCTGTATGATGCCGTTAAAACTGCACACACAAGCCTGAAAGCAGTTTATGATGATCTGCACAGCATGTAATTAGTACAAAATGTTTGTGCTGCATTGGGTGACTTGGAACTGTTATCATCAGATGAGTTGCAGAGTACCACCTCTCTGATTCTCCTCACTTCTTAACTTCTCCAAACATCAAGAACTGGCTGTGTAATCTTGTTCACAAACCACAATGTAATTTCAGTGCTGATAAGGAAGCTTCAAAGATTAAAGGGAAACAGTCATATTCAGCTTTTCAAGGAGCGCAGCCTGAGAGAAGAGGGAGGAAAACAGTGTGGAAAGAGATTTTTCTCCCTTGTGACTCTGTTGTGTTTATAACCATCCCACCAGCTATTCTATTCTACAAAATGGTAAACAGGAAGGCATGTGATATAGTACAAAGGGGATATAGGTGGAAGGGGGACACAAAAGCAACCAATTTTCCTGCTAAGTTGCTGCCTTATTTTGATCTACAATTTTAATGTGGTGCAGAAACTGCTGGTTAGATAACTCATCTGGTCAGGCAATCATTTCGTGGGGTTTAGTGTCCGTGGACTTTGTAGACATCATGGATGCAATACCTTCGAAATCACACTGCCCACCTGCCCCTCTTTGGCATTACCCAGGGCAAAGGGGCTTCCATTGGTTCACAAGTCAATCATTTACATCACATGAATGTTAATGATCCCAAACAGAACCCAGTCCCTTCAGGGCTTGCATTTAGGGACATCAGTGTTTAACTGGTTAACGGACAAGCCTCACCCATAACAGGTTTCAGTTAACTGTAGGGGCTGGAGCAGCTTCCCGCTTGCACTACAAAAGGGGCTGCGCCAGCTCCGTAGGCAGGGGCAGCTCTGGCCAGCCACAGGTTACACGCTCGCTCCCTGGGAGAGAGGCTTTGCTGCAGGTTCTGCAATATAAAGTTGATATAAAAGCTTTATACTGCAGAGCCCACAGCACGTGTAACCGCTAGGATTTTTTTAGTGGTTAGATGGTTACATTTTTAAATGACTGTTTACATTCCTACTCCCGTTACATGTCTGACAGATATGAGTGAGAGAGAGAGAGAGAGAGAGGTGTGCTTAAGAGCTTAGTCCAGTGTCTGATCTCTGTTACATGGACGTAAGCCAGGAATCACTTTACTGATTTCGGTGGCATCACACTCTGGGTACACCCTTCTGTAATTTGGCTAAAACCTGTCTTTGTACCTTGGATCTAGTTATGGCGCCTCGCACAGCAATACTCCAGGACTTTTTTATTAGGTTCTTTTTTAAACAAAAAAAGACTAGAAACACACACAAATGCTCGGAGTTGGTCTACCCCCCAAACAGGCAGCAGCTAGTGTTAACACTTGAGCATCTGAACAATTATTATGCTCAAAAAGATTCCCATTCTGACACAGTCACTGTGGTTCATGATGACATACGCTGACCTCCTCCTCTCTCACGTCTGACAAAGTCGCCCGGGGTTATGAGCAATACTAAGGGAAACCCAATTTATACATAATTTAGGCAAAACATTTTGAGGACAAAAAAAGGTCATATGCCCTAATGCTCATGGAAATGCTCACTTGCCCGTCAGACTTGTTCAGTGAACACTAGAACAGACTGATCCGTCAATCATAGACCCAAGGATGAACGAACACAGCATGGTCAAGATCAGACCCTCAATGCCTTACTTTGATGCCCCCAATTCGATGCTCTCCCTTGAATTCTTTGCCATTTTTCAGCCAGTATATGGATGGGGTGGGGTTGCCTGCTGCAGGGCAACGGAAGCGAACGGTATTTGCAGCTGGTACAGCTAGCAGCTTCTTTTCCATCCTCTCTGAACGGGTCCAATAAGGAGCACCTGAGAAATGAGAGACAAAACAAACAGGCTTATTTCTGGGCTTCAGCATACCTGGAAGAAACTAAATTGCTCCCTACTTTAGTGAAGATGAATTACACTGAAATACTTTCCAGCCAAATAATTTTCACAAATACAACCATGCTGTCTACATACAAGACTTGTTTGCAGCCAGGTTCTGTTCTTGATAACACCAGTGTAAATCTAGAGGAACTCCAATGTAATCAACCATTGGAGTCATTCCAGATTAGGATCAGAATCTGGCCCTCAGACTCTACAAATGACAGCAGAATGCCAGCCAAGAACTGTGGGTGGCGGGAAGGTGCTGGGATTGCAAAAGAATGATGATCGCCCAGCAATGAGTCAAGGTAAAGTAATGTTAGCAAAAGCACTGGAGGAGTTTGCCTGTAAATAAAGGGGAACGTGTCCCATGCCTGTTACAAAAAAGACAAAAACCAAACTTCAAACCGGTTTATCATGTTTACATTCTTAAACTACAAGTGATCTCAGTTTTAAGGATTCATGTTACTTGTGAACAGGGATTAGTTTTAATACTGCTGTTAACACACGATACTTCTATAATTTGCCTTAAGTAGACAGCAATGATGCTTGGCACTTGCTACAACCATTACATATTAACTCCGAATTAAGGTAGTGGCAGAAAACTCATTACACTGAGGGGGGGGAGGGGGGGTGCATAAAGAGTCTCCTGAGATGTGATTTCTGCCTAAGAAAATACTACGGGGTTGTATTTCTGGGTGGTTTTTACATCACCCTGTGGGCTACATTCTGATGCATCTGGCTCCCAGTAAACTCAAGGAGACGCAGGCAGGCAGAATTTGGCCCTTATGGCTTCCAGTGGTTGCGAGAAGAAAGAAAGGCTGGCAGCTACAACTAAGTCAATGGACTGCCAGCCCCAGAGATGCAGGGCATGCAAACCAGTTGTTACAAGAGGAAGACGTGTCTTTCACGCAGACAGGGGCTGATCCTGTGAGAATGGTGTCTGAGCACATCAAGGCCTTTAAACTCCTCAGTCTGTCTCATCGGCAGGATAACAGCCTCACTTCTTTCCATGGCTAACCTGCCCCAAACCAGCGAAGTGGCTTAGGAGCCTGCATTTCAAATGCAAAATCACCCAGGTCCCACTGGAAAAAAAAAATCAAGGATTTTCACTGTTCCAACATCTTGCTGCCAGCCATAATGAATTTCAATGACACTGGAAATTAATGGGATTTTTAAAGTGTTACTCAATCTCCTCTCCTTTTTTAAAGCCTTGTCTCCACTGACTTTTTGGCCTCATTTTTTCCTGCCATTACTAAAAATTGCAGACACCCGGGTGGGAACATTAGCATGGACAATGCACCATCTGCCATTTAGACACAGTCATGCCTGGAAATTCTGTGAAATGGATTAGACAACATGGGGTAACAAGCCAATGTGTTCCTGGAGATCTGTCCACATTAGGGCTCTAACCACTGAGTTTAATGCTATGATCTGTCACAACTTGATTGTAGGCCACTTCATAGCCCTGTGCCTCAGTTTCTCATCTGTGAAATGCAGGGTGAACATCATTGGCATTTGAGAGGCACTACAGTGCTCAGAGCCACACAGGTACACAGACCAGTTGGCATTAAGACTTGGATGGACGTAGCCTCACAGTGACTTGTACATCCTCTTGTAGGAGATTATCCCAGTCCCAAATCACCTCGCAGGCATCTACACTGACATGTTTCAGACTGCAGCACAATAAATGAGTAGCGTCAATTCTCACACAGCAGGAGGGTGCCATGCTACTCTCTTTTATTTTTCTCAGCTCCAGTGCGTAATCAAGGCTTGCTGTGGCAGAGCAGCCGTGGGTCAATAGTAAATCGCAGCTACCGTCCAATGGATTAGAAACTACCTACTGCGTGCGTGTGCGTGTCAGCTCTGAGAAATGCTGCCACTTAGGCTTTCATTCCTATTAAAGCCCTCAATAATTCTGGGCCTTTGCCCAGTTTTGTATCTTTCTTAAGGAACCAGGGTGTGCCCAGACTATAATCGCTGTAACTTCATGCTTTGCTTAGTTCTGCAAACTTGATTGAAGGGGACAGATCCTTAGCTGCTGTAAACTGTTACAGCTCCAGTGAAGTCACTATGTGTGGCTATATTTTATATCCCATATGTGGACCCAAAATGTAGCACATACAAAAAGTGCCACTTTTATTAGCCAGGTAAACTACTCTAGGCTTCATATTTCTTCTTCTGAGGTCTCAGAACATCTCAGAAACATGCCTGTATTAAACTGGCTGGATGATTTTGAAGCTACAAGTGCCCACGTCTAACTTGGAAAGTCCTTGTCTCTTGCTGATTCTTAATTCAGCATTTCATTTTAATTCCAGGCAAAACTTTTAAGCGCTGTGGAATCCCCTGGAACCCACACCTAAAACTGAGAGTTATTTTTTCCTCTGTTAAATTACCAGTTTATTCCTCCCCAGCACAGACTGATTATTTACATAGGTTTAGTGCGTCATGTTTCTACTTGTTTCTAGAAAAACAAAAACAGAGTTGATCTTACATCATAGAGCCCGACCTGCCCTATCTTTACCAGCACATCAAATGCCTGAGGTCATTTTTTCCTGATCTGGATGCTGGAGTTTATCTGGTCTGAGCTACAAGAACTTGCTTGCAAATGCCTCAAGCACTTGCGTCACCTAGCCTGCAAAGCTTTGCCCAATAGGAGAAAGGAGGGGACAGGATTAATTAGCAAGCACTTTCTTCTACAACCTTGTGCTGGGAGCATCACCGTATCCACATCTCTATATGCCACCCCAAAAGAAAGTTGCCCAAGACACTATGCTTGCACAATGTCACCAAATA